CTGGTCGCGCCGCAGCCTGCTCAGTCTCTCTCCGGCTCGCGGTTCCAGCGGCGCCCAGGGCAGGGAGACGACAGCCCCCTTCCCGGCAGATACCGCTGTCGTCGGACCCCGAGTCCCGGTGGCGAGACTGCGCAGCCTGGCCGGGCGCTGAGGGCAGCAGCTGCGGTGGCCGGGCGCTGAGTGGCGGCCGCTCCAGGTGGCTTCTTCCCAGGGAGGATTTTGTAAATTTCACAAAATGGCACGCGCTCCAAACCTCAGTGCACGTATTATGAGAGTCCCCTTCAAGGTCTCAGCAATCCTTCAGAGGTAGCAATACCTTCAGAGGTAATACACCTGGGTAGTAACAGCTACCCCCGGCGCAAGCAAGGACACCAGAGATTCTGACTCACCATCAGGCTTTCTGAGTTCCTCTTCTTGCTGGTGGCCTCTGGGATCCTGCCGGCGCGGGGCACGGGCAGTTCACTCCCTTCCCGCTGCCATGTTTCCTCCTGAGAGTAACTAATTTAGGAGCAGTATCTTTGCTTTGAAATGCTGCAGAGTGGAGAATTATGTTTGCCTTGATGAAAGACCCTCAGCTGACAATGGAACAATCACAGATGGCTGAATATGATACAGACACAAGAGAGGTTATTCCTGAAGAAACAGCCAGCCTGATGGACTGGATAAAAGCCATTGTCAGGTGTGTCTACCATGATATGGGGGACTGCCCAACTCCTGCTGTAAATGTGAAGTGGTGCTCCCCAGATGAAGCAGCTGATATACTTCATATGTAAGCTGTGTGGACTGGCTTTATGACACCCAGGTCATGGTAAATGCTGTGGTTAAGGGAGCCCCTTTAGCATGGGCACCCCATGCAACCTTATGGCTGCAAAACAGAGCTACAATTGAGGAAGCACTATCAAGTTTAGTGCCTCACCTTCCTCTCCTGGTCTTACAGATACTAATAAAAACATGAGGGTAATTAACAAGAGAATGGAGGGGAGAGTCAAAGGACATATCCCAGGAAGGTGGAAATGCTTAAAGGATTAGTAAGAAATAAGGTAAAGAAAGAAAATATTGATGGGGTGAAACTAAGAGGAAAAAGAAAGGGAAGGTTCATGGGACTCGTCCCAGCAGGATGGAAATCTTTAGATGGTTATTAAGAAACAGGATGAATAAATGGAAATTGATGGGGTTAAAACAAAAGTTTTAATAGAACACTATCAAAGGCTGTGTTGACTGTTGCTGAGTAAGAGTATAGGAAAGACACTTCCATGTGTTTTTCCCACTCTTATACCACTTAAGCCTTGTTTTCCTGATCCATATAGTCGGAATGACAATAGCTGCTTGCAGAGATGGTCACAGAGAGGGTTAGAGGTCAGGAATATGTTACCTTTGCACCTGCCCTGCCCATAGCAGGTGTAGCTACTACCATCAATATTTTACCATTTTGACCTTGAGAAGGTTCCGATGCACCTTGTAGACTGGGCCACCAGGGGGTGATCTCAAGCCACCATGGAAGTGAAAGATTGAAAGAACTGTCTGAGCCTCCCTACCACTTCTGTCCCCAAATCCCAACCACAGCCATCAAATTCTGGAAGAAAACTGACCCAGAAAAAATGTTATACCTGACTGGGGTCTGGGTCAAATGGGGAGTTGTGGGGACAGACGTACACATGACCCAAGCAGGGTGGGGATGGGTAAGGCAGAAGCTCAGGGTGTTGGCTGCCATCTCCCACCCCCACGTCAACCCCCTCACCGCCATGGGGGCTGAGCCCCTGGAACTGATGCTTCTCATTAGGTGACACAGTGATGTCGTCCAGCACGCAGAGCCAGGCCAGGCTGTCGATGGTGAAGCCACGGTAGTAGGGCACCAGCGCCAGTGGGTTCCCCTGCAGCACCAGCAGCCTCAGGTGCCTCAGCGTCCTGAGGCTGGCGATCATGCTCTGCAGGTTGGTCAGGTTATTGAAGCCCAGGTCCAGAGAGATGAGGTTGGGCCTGGAGGGTAAGCAAGGAATTAAGGAGTTAGGTGATCAAGGGACTGGCACCTCTATGTCCAGGACAGACAGAAGACCTGAGGCTGAGGACAAGGCATGGGAGTGTCTGCCCATGCTCAGCTCACACCCGTTGTTCTGTCCTTAACCTCAGTTAATCCCCCTGTCCACACTCTGGGTTTGTGGCACCCTCGCAGCATGTGGCACAGAGATGGCCTGTTGTACCCTGCCTCTCCCTGACTTTCATTGACACAGATCTCTTCTTGGTCAAACATCTTGGCAGCTCCCATTGAGCCTGATACAGTGTTGTACATCTAGAAAGTTCTCCACAAATACTGACGGACTGGAAAGCAAGGCAGAGGGAAGCCACTGTGGGGGAGAGTGTTGGGTGGGGTAGGAGTGGGGTCGGTATGGGGCCCTGAGGTGCCTGGGGCTGTGGGGCTGATGGTCTAGAAGCTGGAGGTGGCACATGACCATGGGAAGCCATTCGGTCCATTTTCAGAGGAACGTGAGTGAAGAAAAACATGCTGGCAAGAGCCAAGGAGGAGCACAGGAGGGGGCGGTAGGTTTCCCGCTGCCACAAACTAGAAAGCACACTGATTTCAGCCCTGAAAACAGAGGCAAGAACGACCCAAGGGCCACCTCGTCAGCACAGTCTTTGGCAACCACGCCTGCCCGGTCCCCACACACTGGACTCGGCACTTTGCCTGTCTTTCCTCCTGAGTAGACGAGCAGGGAAGAAGGAAGAAGTAATGGTCACAAGGGGGATTCCCCTGCCTGCTAAGACCCACCCCTCCAAGAGCACGTGTCCGGTTGAACCAGCTAAGGGAGCATCCTCCAGGTCACCGGGAGCAGGAGCGGGTGACGCGGCTGTACACCTTCTGCCCTTCCCCAGGCCGTGGAGCAGGAAACAAGAGTGAGCTGTGCCCAGGGAGGTGCTGAGACTCTGAGACCTTCCACAGCACGCTCTGCAAAGCCTCCCTGGACAAGCTCCCTTTGATGGCCTTTTAGGGGTGGTCTCTGATCCCCTCATACTACTCAGCCCCAGGATTTCAAGTTTCCCACTGCTCACCCACCAAGGAGTCAAAGTCAAACATCAATAACTGGGGCGACTATTCTGCATGACTTCTAATGGACATGACTTCAATAACCATGGAGCATCCCGATGAAATCTAGAGTTGTCTCTAGGGCAGTGGTTCTCAACTTGGGACAATTTTGTCCCTCAGGGTACATTAGGTATTGTCTGGAGACATTTTTGATCGTCACAGTGGAGGGGGAGCTGCTTCTGGCATCTAGCGGGTGGAAGCCATGGATGCTGCTAAACATCCTACAATGCACAGGACAGTCTCCACAGCAGAGAATGATCGGCCCAAATGTCAACAGAGATGGCATCAAACCAAAGGCTCTGACTCACTCCTGCTACCTCTTGGTGTGCTTCCTTGGGCTTCAGTGGGAATTTTCAAAATGGGTCAGAGAAATAAATCCTAGGTCTGGAGTTAGCAGTCAACTGGGAGGTACAGAAAAGAGCAAAGCTGAGGTCTTCAATTTTGTAGAATTGCCCAAACTTAATACTTAATCCCTCCCTTTCCCTTTTTCCATTTGGGCTCCCAAGTTACCAGTGATGTGTGGTGATGTACAGACTTTCCAAGGGGCCCAGAAGTTTGTTGTGGCCTAACCCCAAGTGCTGCAGGCCAGGGGGCGGGTGGGCGCACAGGCACTCCATGCTGGCGATCTGGTTGCCGTAGAGCTCCAACACCTGAGAGGCAACAGAGAAGGCCCATGATCTTGACGGCTAAGCCAGCAAGGAAAATTCAATTCCTTCCTCTGCCCTGGACACTTACAAGAGGAATTATGAATTCTTCGTGCCCTGCCTCCCTGGGTCCAGCTGGATTCCCTTTTGAAAATCCAGGAGGACAATATTCCTACAGCAGGTGTTGGAGAGTTTCTTTTCCTTTTGTGAAGGAAACTTCAGAATTTGGAATGGGGGGTGGGGGTGGAACATGTTCCTTTTTTGAGGAACATGACCTATATTTTAAAAGCCTGGGGCTGGGCCTTAGCACACAGCCAACCCTGGCCAAGCCTATGCAGGGCAGCACATCTGGGCAGTGCTGGCTCAAAGACCCTAAAGGAAGTGGCGCTCCTTCACCTTGAGTGTTGGGGGCAGATTGACAGCATCAATCTCCTTGATTTGATTCGCACTCAGTACCAACTCTTCAAGCTTTAGAAATTTCAGAAGGTCTCTATCCACCACGCTCACCTGGAGGGAAGGAAAGGAAGCTAAGGGCTGTCGTGGGCAAGGTGGCACTGAGCAGAAACCAAGTGTCCATCAGAAAAACAATAGCCCATCCATTTAAGATGATCTTCCAACCCTCCCTCCCAGCCTCACTCTCCCCGCCACAAGCCTTTCCCACTCATTCTGCAGAATGCAAGGGCCCTTCCAACCCTCACCCCCCCGCCAGCTTTCTGTGCTGTGCAATATCCATGCCAGCGACCGAGGCCCCTCCTTGGACCGTAGCTTCTTGTGAGGCAGGAACCCCATCCTCTCTGCTGCCTACCCCAGAGCCACAGTGAGCCCCTGGGGCCCACTGACTGGCACTGAAGTGAGTTAAGGTCCTCAGGAGTCACTCTGGTCTTCACAAAGCAGAGTCAGACCAGAAGCTTCAGTGGCTCATCCATGAATCCTCAGTTTTCTATGGTCTCAAAGACACCTGGGGCCCTTCATGGCCAGGCCTCTCTTCCCTAGGGTGACAACTGTGTGGTTTGCCCAGGATGGATGGGGTTTCTGGGACACACTCTTTCAGCGCCAAAGCTGGGTAAGTCCCAGGCAAACTGATGCAAGTTGGTCACCCTACTGGTGGCTTAGTACCAGGTAATTTCCTAGTTTTTCTGAAAAAGGAAAGCAAAGCAAAGGCTTGGGAAGGCTGAGACCACATTTCTGTGTAGCTCGGGGGCTCCGTTATTGATCTAAGCAAAAAAGGCTTTTTAGTAACAGAAATTACTATAGTTAGGACTATGCCACCCCTCCCCCCAATCCCTGATTCCTGCAGTTTAAATGAAGTAATGAAACAGAGCTCCCCACACCCTCATAACGTACACTATCTGCTTCTGTAGAATTGCTTGCTTAACCTAAGTAACTCCATTTTGCCCCGTCTGACCTGCAGACTACCTCCCCCTTCTGCATGAGAAACCGTTGACCTTCTCATAGAAACAAAAGCCATTGCATAGAAACAGGAGCCATACACAGTGAACTATTACATGGGAACATACACAATGAAAAGTTGTATGCTTGATTGTTCTAACGGCTCAGTCTTGGCTTCTGTAACCTAGCTCCCTAACTTGCTTTGTGCACCTGGACAAACCCATGTGCCAACGGGATGTAGTTTTTGCCTTTAAAAACCTCACAAGACCAAGGCCCAAGGCCACTCTTCCTTGGTTGCTCCTTGGGAGACGGTCGCTGGCCAGCTGGAGTGAATAAACTGCCCTTTTCTGCACGAGTGGCGTGTAAGTGCATTTCTTGGGGGAGGGTGCCTCACAACAGTAAAACCAATATGGACCATTCAAAAGGTCTTTACTAGGACCCAGGAGGGACAACTGCAGGACACGCCAGAAATCAGCTGTAGAAGGAGCACAGTGGGCTCCCTGCGAGGGTGGAGGAAGAAGACACATAAGGAAGGACGACTGGCCCTGCTTGGTGCGCAGCTGGCAAGATGAACTAGATGGAGGACAGGGCTGACCTTGACATCGGCCCCCAAAGCAGACCCTGAGGCGCTGGGGAGAAGGGCACCCTCCCTTCATCCTCCTCCCACATGACACCCTGCAGGTGGCGCCCCGCCCCAGCATGCACCTCCTTGTCCACCACCCGCAGCGACCGGAAGTAGGAGTAGAAGAAGGCGTCTCTGAGCATCAGTGGGTTCTGGATGGCCAGTTCTCTTAGAAAACGGTCCTCGGCACTTGAAGCTTCCAGCAGGGCCCAGGGAGAGTGGGGGCTGCGGACCAGGTCCAGCAGGGCCTCCACGGGCTCCTCCCTGGGGCTCCCACGCTCCTCCTCTCTGGGGACCAGCTCCCTCCATGTGCGACAAGTTTGAGGAAGAAATCGCGACTTATTCTGCAGTGGTGGAGGTGGAGAATTTCTCTAAGTTATGACATAAGCCTCTTAAGGATCTGGAACTCAACATTGAACAGATTGTAAAGTAGGACACCTGGAGGGAAAGAGTTTTGAAATCTAGACCATGAGGAATTGATAATTCTGATTATTAGCTGTAGAAATAACCACAGGTGAGGGGAGATACAAAATAATTAAAGGTCCAATTCCTGCCTGAAGGCGTTTCTTGAATTGGGAACCTCGAACATTCAAGTGGAGCATTTAAATATTTAACTCACAATTTATGAAAATGTATGTGCTACAAACGGGAGGCACAAAAGGCAATCTTAATCATGGAAAAGTTTTCTGGAGAAGAGTGGCAAGGCTGCGAAGGTGAATCCAGAACTGGTAGATGCCACCAGTGGATGGTGAAAGCTTTGGCTCCCGAAGTTCACTCTCTCACATCCCTTCCTCCTGCGCCTAATGAGACGGTCTTTGAAACCCAGAAGCTCGCACAGTGCAGGGGCAAACTAGGTGCTCACTCAATGTCTGTTGACTAAGTAAACAAATGAATTCTTTCCCTGGTTGGTGTCTCAGACTTCTTATAAGAAGGAAGGCCAACTGTACTCTTTCGCTGAGTGTGGGGAGGCCCCAGCTGCCAACCCAGGCCACCAGGCCTTTCAGAATTCAAGATGTTCCTGCCACACCCGAGGAGCCTCTGGTTCTAAATGTCCGCCCCTCGTCCCCATCCCGTGCAACCCAGCCGACGGTGATGACGCCCCTCTGGCCACACCGAAGCAGGATGAACGCACACACTGAAGAGATAAAAGAACCTTCGTGGGCAGCAAAACCACATTTTCCTTCTTCAAGCGGTCGCAACTACGCCCAGCGCCCTATTCCCTTCTGCCTCCCCTCCCCCAGAAGCCGGGGACAGACGCGCGCGCTCCAGGCCTCCTGAGCGCATCTGTGACCTCAGAGGCGGGAGTGCAGGGGTGGAGACCCTTCTTCCGCACGAGCCTGCACAGGACCGACCCCCACACTCGGCTTGGGGCTGGCTTTGAGTGCTTGAGCGCTCCGTAAATTGAGAAACTCTTCACCCAGACAAAAGCTTTTCACCCCAAAAGGAGCCCAGCCTCTCGACACGTCTGGGCTGTAGGGTGTCCCAGATCAGGCTGATGTGCCCAGGATGGGCGTGGTGCCCAGGTCTAGGCAGAGGCCCTGCCCTCCACCCTGGGTGGGCGCCCACCGGCCCAGGTGGGGTTCTAGTCCGTGCACTTTCCGTGCCCCAGTCCCCGCGGTCCAGCCGCTCAGCGCCACCCCCACTTCCTAAATCGGCCGCTGCCGAGATGCCCGGATCGGAACCTCCTCTCAGGCCTCAGCTCCCGGGTCTCGCCCCCCGCTCCGCCCCCAGCCCCTCGGGCCCACCCGGCTCGCAGCCAGGCCTGGGCCGCGTCCTTCCCCAGCCTGCCCTGCC